GTTTTCATTGGACTGACCCCGTGACGTCAAACGACAACTGATTGTAAATTTAGCCAGATTCCAAATTAGTTGGGGGTAACTGAATCGAACTGAAGTGCATCCCTGCCAAAAGGGAGCATGAACCACATTTCGAACTGTACTTTGCAACTCTGCCATGCATGCATCTGTCCGTCTCTTTTGAAAGTGGAAAAGACAAGCTGCGAGTGCTCTTCACTATGCAACTCAGAACCTGAGTGTGTACAGGCACAGATTTGAGGACAATGTAGGATCCCAGCTGCTAAAATCATCTCTTCCGCTCATGATTCTGTCCTTCATTGCTCTCAAATTCGAAATTCTAACTAAAGTGAAGAGCGCTCTCAACTTGTTTTGTCCACTTTCAAAACCACTGTCAGAGATAGATGTTCTCACAAACTCCAGTGGAGAAATCTGAGAGTGCAGACTCGTGCATGGCCGGGAACACGCTCTCACAAACCTGAGCCTATGAGCTCTCAAATGCTGAGTTGCAGAGTGAACAGAGCTCAAAATGTGCTTCATGGTCCCTGATGTTTCAATGGGGATTTACTTCCACAGATTCTAAAATCAGGTAGAATCCAGTGTCTGCTCAGCTTAAGTATATATAAACACAATGATCTTAACCCTCTATAGACCCTAGAGCCAAAACCTGCCATTTCAATTTTCATTTAAGCCATTTTGGCTGTATTAAATGAATGTAGCTCAAATTTGGCACAGGATATTTATTATTTAAAAATTGTGGTCCAACTTCTTTAAATTTGCCTAAAATGGCTAAGATATAAAAATCTTCACGTAATTGACCCTTTGATCAAAATCTGCCCCATTGAACCCCATTTAAAAACGCTATTTTTGATGCTATATTTATCCTACAATAAAGTAATGCATTGCGCTGTGTTGCAATTGCATTTTGAAGTACTTGGTCCCAACTTGTAATTCTGATAGTCATCCACCAGATGGTGACATGATTCCATTTTCGAAGCCTGCAGCCAAAACAAAACCAAAATCTACTTTTTCCACTGTATTTTGTAAGGCTGACTTGCTAATAATGAATGGATTTGATAAAGTGCATATCAGTTTCAATGTTATATTGATCCAGTATAGGTCTGTGTGTGCGCGCTCACACGTGAAGCTGTTCTAATGGCGTAAAATGAACCAAATATGCGCAAACACACAGCGCGATGCATTACTTTATTGTAGGATAAATATAGCATCAAAAATAGCATTTGATGTTATAGCAATGCATTATGTCTGGGTGTGAATTTATGTAATGCATCAAAATCAATGTTGGTGCCAATCACTGACCCATCCCAGGGCCTAATAATAATAATCAAATACTGGTTTAAATGTTTTTTGAAAATCATTTCATTTTTTTTGTTTTTTCCCCATTGAAAAAAAGAGGGGTTATGACAACATACTGACCTATAAAGGGTTAAAAAGTCCAGAAATATAATTCATATTTGATATGCATATTTCAGGCAGAAGTAGTTCTAAAAGATTGGCTAGTTTAAAGTGGAAAAAATATGAATTTATAATAATTTTATTGCTGTGTTTGGGAATGTGGCAGATTTTGGTCCTAGGGACAATTGTGTGACCCTTTTGTCAGGAACTCAAGGGTTAAGCTAATAGCACACAAACAGTTATAAACGTTCATGTCTACACTGAAAACACTTATTAAATGTTCACAGTGCTGTTGGAAAAAGTGACTGAACCCTCAGATTCAGTAACCGGTCCTGTAGCTCGTCTGGCAGCCGTAACCTCAAACAAGCTCTTCCTGTAGCTGTGGATCAGACCTGCACAGTGTTGAGGAGGAGTTTAGGACCAGTGTTAATGTTGATGGTCACTGTGCTGCTGCATCACCACCCTGACACTGTAGGACTCCTTTCATACTCCATCCTGGAGGGGGAAATAAATTCCCAAGTTTATCAAGGAGTCCTACAGGACAGTGTCAGGGTGGCTGTCTACCAGCTGAGGCTCAGTAGGAGCTGGGTGATGCAGGAAGACGGTGACCGTCAATGTTAACACCAGATGAGAATCTGAGGGGTCACTCACTTTTTGCACCAGCACTGTGAACATTTAATAGGTGTTTTCAGTATAGACATGAACAATTTTTATTAGATTAAACTCATCATGTTTGTCTGTACTTGTGACTTGGATGAGGATCAAATTATTTTGACCAAATCATGTAGAAAACCAGGTAATTCCAATGGTTTCCTTACTTTCTGCTGCTACCATTTATTTTTTAACACTCCCGCTACTTCTTCTAGTACTTCCCTTTTTCTGCTTCTACTTCAAGTACTGCTACTATTAATTTCTCACTAATAATTCTTATCTTCCTCCAGCTGAAAGACAAAGAGCGACAAGTGATCAAAGACAAATTTAAGGTACTTTTTTGCACCACATGTTTCAGCACTTCTCAACAAACCAGATGGAGTTCTGACCTGCTTCTCTGTCCTTGCTGCCTCTCAGGGATTTAATGATGGCTTGGAGGAGCTGTGTAAGACCCAGAAGGGGTGGGCCATCCCGGACAAAGACCAGCGAGACTTCATACGCCAGGCTCAGAAGAAAGTGGTGTCCCATGCTTACCAGACCTTCCTGAAGAGGTGAGACACAAACTGGGGGCTGGACAAATGTCAGGATTCACTGTGTCCTTGTCGGCATGTATAAAAATATGATGCCAAGCACCCCCTTTCTCCTTGCTAAGCTGTGTCAACCAATAGCAGAAGTGTTCTAAAGCCTGTTATGTGAGAAAACAGCAACCAGTAAAGGCTCTAAATGTGTCCCTATACAGTCGGTGTACGACCTGCCATTAACACCACTGACTTTGGCATGGCAGGTTGGGGTTCAATTCACTGCCAGGGCACAGTGTCAGGCCTTTAATGCTATCCGCCTAGCGAGGTACTACACAAATGCTACGGCAAGGAGGAATCAGGATGCCAGGGTTATGGGGGACAGTACACATACTCACATACACTACTGGTTAAAGACCAGCTTAGCGAGGAAACCTTGATCAGGACATCAACTACAACTGCCATGGTCTACTTTTATTTATACCATTTTACCTGCACTCTTAAAAAAAAAATAATGGTCGTAGCATGTACCATACTTTCTGCTGCTAATGCCACAATAGGATTTACTACCCACCACAACGTAACTGTGAATGACAGGTCCTGTACAGTTTATCAGATGGCTGCTGGTCGGAGCCCTCCTGATTATCTTCACATTTGTTTCTTTTGAATTTCCTCCAGATGTGCTAACATCTCTTTCACCAAGAACACAGAGAAGTATCACAAGTACCGGCCGGAGGATGTGGAGGAGATGATCGAGAAGCTGTTTGACACATCCGCCTGAGCTCAGCCTCTGCTCCATGTTTGCTCCATGATCGCTGTTTGTACAAAGACACGAACAGGACGTATTTATGTAATTTAGCTATTCTTGTTTAACATTTCAAAAAAATAAAGGGAACTCTGAATGTGAGGTCGTTTGTTTTGTTGCTGCCACACAGCGGTTGCCTGACATGAATCAAACAGAGGCAGCTGAACATCGTTATCCACTTTTACACTGCACCGAATTCATCTCTTTTTACTATTTTTATGATCCTTATTTCCTCTACTGTTAAGCACTTTGCAGCTCTGGTTCAGAAAAGTGCCATATAAATAATCTTTGACCTACTTAGCATTGGTCAAAATAACACCAGACATGTTGGCAAACTGCGCTTTTACATACAGCATTTAACAGCTTTCTTGGAGTCATGTGTGCCCATCTGATGAAGCCATCAGTCTTTCAGCTCTGTCTTTGGTGTCCACCACCTCCTGAGGGAAACCTCTGGCTCTGGAGCCGCTAACTGCTCCACTCTGTTCACCGACTGGCCTCTGACTGGGCCTGTCTACTCAGCAGGTTGTAGACACACAACATGATCAAAGATTGAATCAAAGTAATGCTGAGGACTGTAAAACCATAACGAGCTGGGAGACATGAAAAACTCTGCAGAGCTGAAGGAAGCTGATGATTCTCTGTGGGTTCGTGACTACAAGCCTCTTCTTTCAAATGACAGACATTTAATCCATTGTGAACATTAAACTGTTAGTGCAGGAGTCTGTCTACCAGCCAGATGCCAACTCCTAAAACTACTGAACTATTCTGGGGTTCAGTGAAGAGATGTCAAATTTTACATCCTGACAAGTGTGTGAAAACTGATTGCTCACCTTCCTCCGTGGCAAAAGATCAGGGTGTCGGTGTCAGCCTCCACAGTGAACTCGAGTCTGCACAGATGGAGAAACGTTCTGTGAACACATCAGATGTGACTGCTCATTATATTAAGTTAAAACAAGGAGGTGGTGCATGTTAACTTTAACCTAGTACATAAAATTAAACTGAAAAAACTCCACCTTTTGCTACAGTCACACCAGAACTTCCCTCTGGGGATTGATAATGTTATCAGAATTGGAAGGTACATTTACTGAAGTATACTTTTGAGGTATCTTTACTTGAACATTTCCATTTTCTTCTACTTCATACTTCTCCATGTCAGAGACAAACCTTGTACTTTTTACTACACTACATGTACCTGATAACTTCAGTTCCTTTCCAGAATCAGATGAATCAAACCAAACACAGTAGAATCATCAGACTCTATTGATCCCTGTGGGAAATCCACCAGCTCCCCAGCAGGATGGAAAGTTCTTCACTGTATAAGTATATAAGATAGTTAACATCAGCTCCACCTTTACTAGCTGCAGCATTAAAGTGATGAACACAGTAATGATCCAGTAGTATTAGAGACATTACTGGGACATGTGTTCTTTCACATAATGAGTCCATTTACTCTGGTAATTGGAGACTCCATAGTCAGAAACGTGAAGCTAGAGACACCGGTGGCCATAGTCAAATGTTTTCCTGGGGCCAGAGCGAGCGACATTGAATCCTATTTGAAGCTGCTGACTAAGGATAAGCGTAAATACAGTAAGGTTGTTATTCACGTCCGCGCTAATGACTCCCGACTTCGCCAGTCGGAGGTCACTAAGATTAATGTTGAGTCGGTGTGTAA